TTGTTTAGAAGAAACCTGTAATAACATATGCTATTAAAATAAATGATTGACAATAGGTAAGGTTCTACTTAGAATAGAAACACAAAAGTTCAATGCATTTGAAGTTCACAATAATCACACACACACACACATACACACACACACACACACACACACACACACACATTGAAATCTGACGTTTTAATACAAAAGAGGATTTCTCAATAAACACCAGCAGAGTTGAGTTGAATCTGGGTCCATTTCCCTCTTGAGATTTCTCTTTATTATATGCCCACTCCATTCTCATTGAGATTATTTTAATGGAAGGAATTCTAGCAGTAGGATCTCCAGCATCAGTAGAGCCACTGTTTTGGTCTGTGAGAGGGTAGTAGTGGAAAGATTTTTCCAAAAGATAGTTGCCTAGGCCATCATATTTAAGTGCATCTGAGTCAGCACTTTGACTTCTATGTATATTGCTTTTCCTCCTCAATGGATGACTATCATATGTGGGAAGATATAGGAAATATGTTTTTGTGTGTATGTTGTCAAGAGGTTGTTCTTTGGGAGGAAGAAATATATACTATAGTGCTCAAGTGTATAGAACCTGCTTGCAACTTACCCTCAAATGATTCAGAAAATATAATAATAATAATATTAATAATAAATAATACATAAACACATTAAGGTGTCTATCTACCATTTATCATCTGTCAGTCATTAGCTATAAAGGATTGATATGTAGAATATACAAATGTGAATGGAACAACTGGGGAAATTGAGAGAGAAGACATAGAGGAATTAGTTCTTTGTGTTCTATCTATAATTTCTAGGTAAAATTTTAAATATTTCACTGTGGGTCATGTTTAAAAGTTTACCTCAGATAAAGCATTCCATGAAAGTAGGAACTAACTCTTTTCACAAAGTATTGGAGAGAATTCGTCCTCTGAATGGGAGGTTTGAGTGGCTAATTCATCATTCCAAACTCAGGAAAATGAGTTATGAATCATAGTTTAGTGATAGCAAAATAGAATGAAATTGTACTCACGGTTCCATAAATTTAAAGCAATATTAAGATGTCATAAATATATATTAAACTGGAACCAATAGCTCACACCTGTAACCCTGTTAGTCAGGAGAGTAAGATCTGAGAATCATAATTCAAAGCCAATCTGTGAAAAAAAGTTTCCAAGATTCTGTCTGACATGTAGTTCAAGTAGTTGAGCACCAGCCTAGAGTGGAAAAGCCAAGTGAGAGTACCAAGTTCTGAGTTCAAGCCTCATAACAGGCATAAGGCAACATGCATTTAGTGAAGGCTCTTTTATGCATCCATCCACCCATCTGTCCGTCCACCTGTCCATCCATCCATCCACCCATCCATCATCTGATTCTGGGAAAAAGATGAAAAGGACTGTTTGGATATCAGACCTTTGCCTATAAATAAGACACACTTATTCTTTTTTAATTAAGTTTTTATTGTGAAAAAACTGTACAAAGGGGTTACAGTTACATGAGCAAAGTAATGAGTACATTTCTTATCCAGCATTGTTGCCTCCTCCTTTGTTTTTCCCCTACATCCCTTCCCTCCCACCTCCTCAGCTACCCCCCCCCAAATTGTAAAGTTTATTTTGCGACATAGTGTCTTGTACATCTCATTGTTACAATAGGTCAACCTGTACTCATATTTAAATAATTTGTTTTTTCCCTTCCCTTCCCAAATTATACCAACATCAAATACAGTGAAAACGGATTATACCGTGGGGGAGGGACATACAAAGCAACAATACATTAGAAACAATAGCAAGGAAGAAAAAATAAACCACTGCATCCCTATCTTGTGGTTCATTTTGCTTAACATCATCTTATCTGACCTTTCTGCTTGTCTCAGACATATACTAGTTATTGCAAATAAGGGAACCCATGGACCTATGTTTCTTTGGGCCTGGCTTACTTCAATTAATATAATTTTTCCAAGTCTTTCCATTTCCTAACAAATGGGGCAATGTCATTCTTTCTGATGAAGGCATAGAATTCCATTGTGTATATATACCACATTTTCTTGATCCATTCATCTACTGAGGGTCATCTGGGTTGGTTCCATATCGTAGCAATAAACATAGTTGTGCTGGAAGCTTTAGTATGGTCTTGTTTGTGATCATTCGGGTAAATGCCCAGAAATGGGATTGCTGGATCATAGGGGAGCTCTATGAAGACACACTTATTCTTCCCTTAGTTATCTTGAGTTCAGCCATATAAAATGTCATGGTTTATAAAGAAAAGATTGAATGAGCTCATTAGTTTCTTCTGGTATAATTTGGAAGTTATTTCACTAGACATATTTTCCTCTTTACACCTGTTTGAAGTTATGAGTCTTAAATATTTTTTTTTGGTCCAGTCATGAGGCCTGAACTCTGGGCCTGGGCACTGTCCCTCAGCTCTTCAGCTCAAGGCTAGCACTCTACCACTTGAGCCACAGTGCCATTCGGGCTTTTTTTTTCTGCTTATGTGGTGCTGAGGAATCGAACCCAGGGCCTCATGCATGCAAGGCAAGCACTCTACCACTGAGCCGTCTTCCCAGCCCCGAGTCTTAAATATTCTGATTCATATAGACAGACCTCCTTCTAGTCTGTCGGCTACGTGTTCAAAGATTACGGTGTGTATAACTCCAACTTCATACTTAATTAACTAAGGAGCCCCTTCTAAGAAAAGAATTAAGAAGTGTTGTCTTATAAGTATACGTAAATGATTTGAATAGATGCTTTAAAGTTATGAATACCTCTTAGTAATACTACTCCTAATTGTGCTAAGCAGGTAGCAGAGGCTCACTTGTCAACATCTAATAGAGCTGGAGATGTAATAAACTGTTTTTGAAATAAACATGTAGATTCATTTATTTAAGACCAATTTTTCTACAGTGAAAAGAGCTTGTCACATTAAAGTAGAATGTGTCATGATTTTTCAATACTTGTTTGTAGGATGTAGATTTTCAGTGAGCATAAATTAACCTTTTTTTCCTTTTCAGTATATTTCCCTCTTATCACTCAAAATATGGAACAAACTGACAGAGATAAATTGGGTGAAATTAGTCCATGCTCCAGTGGAAATTTAACCTTTACATTCTTTCTAGATGTATGCCTCTGCTTTATCATTTAGAATTAAGAACATTTTTTTACTTTAAAAACATATCAAATGTTAAAAATAAAAGTGATGGTTTCATTAGTGTAACACCTGGCTTTTCTTTAATATGTGTATGTGTGTGTGTGTGTGTGTGTGTGTGTGTCTGTAAATGTACATTTACCGATGCATGTAGTTACAATAGGGGTAATGATGCTGATAAAATTTATACAAAGACACTTTGGTTCTTGCAATTTTTATTTTTTTCTAGGAGCAAAATAGAGGAGAAAGAGATTTGTGAAAATATTTTAAAGTTTTTCAGTAATATTTTATGGACAATTGTGACATTTTAAAAAGCTTAAAGAATAAGGATAAATTGATGTTTGTTGGTTTTACACTCCCTAAAATTTGCATATTCCTTGAACTTCTCTAATATAAGGTCTGTACAGGAGCACTTCATTAAGTAGCCTTAATAAGCGTGGCACCATCTGTAATCTGGGCTACTCAGGAGACTGAGATCTGAGGACTGAGGTTCGAAGATAGCCAGGGCTGAAAAGTTCTTGAGTATCTTTTCCAGTTACCTACCAAAAAACTGAAAGTGTACTGGTGGCTGAAGTGACAGAGTGCCAGCTGTGAATAAAAAAGCCAAGTGACAATGTGAGGCCCTGAGTTCAAATTTCAGTACCAGAATAAATACCAATTAATTAGAAGATGACCGTCAATAGTGGCCCTCATGTTTCTCAGTCCTGTCATTAAGGAAGGGCCCTATTTGAACACTTACAAGGGTTAACAGCATCCTTGAAAAGGGCTTTTGAAATGTATACATTGATTTTATTTCTTTTGTATAAATTTAGCAGAAATAAAATAGACACATTTATTTGATTGAGGTCAGAACAGATTTTCCATTTCAGAGATCACTGGTGGCTAAAATAATCTGCTCAATTTTTGATTGCCACTAAAGTGACTGATTCTGACTACAAAATGTGATAAAAGCATGCTTCCCCCCCCCCATTAACAGCCCATTTGGAGAGAAAACCATATAGAATTGTGAAGTGCACATAGAAGCAATACCAATGTGTGTTATCAAGTTACTTATGTTAATGGCATTATCCTGATATAATTTGGTGAATAAATTATCTCAATCTGGTCTTTTTTCCAAACAAAAAGAATGTATATTATACTATATATAACATGTGGTATATACAATATTATACATACTTAATACATATATAAATTATATATTAACATCCATCTCCCTTTACTAAAAATTCCAGTGAGGAATTCTCTCCACAGTGAAGTCTGATTGTTGTATAATTTGATAAATTGTTGCGAACTCTGTAAATGAGACAGCAATTTGTCTCTGCAGTGTGAGCTTGATTTAGCTTTATTCTTTTCCTCGCAGGCATCCTGGAATATTTATGATAGAGAACATTGGTAATCTGATGTGGATGTTCTAAGAGAGACAAAAAGAACTTAATTACCAGCCAATTTACAACCGCTGGTGCATTCTTCCATATTCTGTTTCTGTCTTTAAAAGGAAGTCAAGTAACAAAGGAGAAAATAATATAAATTTAATGATATTCTATTGTTTTCTTTCTCAATTCTTTCATGTTTCACTGTTGATCATTAACTTGCTCATTTTAGTCATTATGTACAAATCTCGTGAACACCTGCTCCGATTCTGGACAAATTAATCAAGCCACATTCAAGATAAGCAGAGTTGGCCTTGATTGATAAAGTGTTCCACCGACAGATGTTCACTTTTAAGCACACATTTTAGTTATTATATTCCAGCAAATAATCAGAAGCTAATTGAGGGGTAAGTACCTTAAAATTGAGTAGGTTGTGGATGAAGTATGTAGGTAGTAAAATTGGTTGTGCGTATTTAGTTGAGGAATGGAATTTCATTTCACTTTGGTGCCAAAATCATTTGGATATATTAAATTAACACATGGCTTTAATTCTCCTTCACTATAAACTGTAAGTCAAATTCTTATGGAACTTTTCATCAGATTGTTTAGTTCCCAGTACTTTGTCTTTCTGAGGAGCGATGATCCAAACCAGGATGGTAAGTAAACATTTCAATGCAATTATTTGTCTGAGGTTATATTTTATTTTATTTATTTTTTTCTTAGTATATATTTTTATTGTAAAGATTCTGTACAGAGGGGTTATAGTTACATGAGCAAGGTAATGAGTCCATTAGGGAGGTGGGAGGGAAAGAAGAGTAGGGGGAATAAACAACAAAAAGAGATATTACATTTTGTTAAGTGCTTATAGATGTGCGTGGACAACTTAAATGTAAATTTTAACTTTGAAAATTATTGACAGTATGATATGGTTTATTATCCTACTGTTTAGTATCCTAAAGAAGCTCCTGATGGATCTCCACTTGATTTCAAATTACTTGCAACATTTTGATTACTTACATAGCTACAAACAGATATTCTAGTCAGTAATATTCTGAGAAATTGAGTATATCTGAACATGAGGATAGATATTTATTTTGCCCATAAGAGCTCCTTTAGCATCACCCTCTCCTAACCCAATGTATTGATTTAATCATTAATAAAATATCATTAATAAAAATGGATAATTTAGCTGATATTTACAATTTATCAACACATTAGTTTCTACCCTGGAATTGGATTGCATTTTGTTTTTTCCCCTTTACTAAATGTATGTTTAAATAAATAGAGTTTAACTACATATAATAAAAATAATCAGACACATCTAAATATGATTTCACAGGTTAGTTTTATAGATCACTTGACTATGAGTGATCTTTAGACCTAATGGTGGTTCTTAGTAATTCTTACACAAATTATGGATCTCATTGGCCCAATGGGTTTAAAACACTAGAAATGTACTTCTCCATTTCTTTAAATCTATAGTACACTATTCTTAATATTTTAACTTCACCCTATTAAGGGATTACTTCCTAGTAGTTATTAGCATGTTTTATTTGTAAAATAAAATTAAAATTCATGAGGACTCAGTGATCTTATTACAAAACAAATTTGGCTCAATTCTCAGGTGGTTGAATTTTCTATTTATTTTACCAAGGTGTTCCCATATGAGTCAATTATGCTTTCCACTTGTTGCTATTCTCATATGTAATTGCTTTGTCAGATTGTCATTTGCATTTTCAAATTGTTTTATTTTTCTTTTACTATGATTATAACATTTGTGTTTGATGATCTTTTGTTCCTTTGCATCTTTTTGAGACTTCTTCTGTCTTCCTTTGTAAATATATGAAATAGGCTTCAGGATCCATTGCCCAAGAGAAGTGAGATTCCACACCAAGTAAAAAACTTACTGTAGGGGCTGGGAAGGTGGCTCAGTGGTAGAGCGCTTGCCTTGCATGCCTGAGGCCCTGGGTTCGATTCCTCAGCACCACATAAGCAAAAAGAAAATAAGCCGGAAGTGGCACTGTGGCTCAAGTGGTAGAGCACTAGCCTTGAGCTGAAGAGCTGAGGGACAGCGCCCAGGCCCAGAGTTCAGGCCCCATGACCGGACCCAATAAAAAACAAAAAACAAAAACTTACTGTAAAGTCATCCCAATTGTTCGGGTTACTTAGAATGCACTAACTTTGTAATATTATGTACTCAAAATTACCTGGAGTGTACTTGTTTTTACTCCATTTCTGTTACTAAAACTATAAATCTATTTAGTGTATCATTTAAAGTTTTCCTTGAAATTAGATTAATAGATATCTCACTTAAAGCTTTGGGGAAAGATAGAGAGAAGCACGTGCTTAGAAATAACACTGCCATAGAATTCCATTGTGTATATATACCACATTTTCTTAATCCATTCATCTACTGAGGGGCATCTGGGTTGGTTCCATATCGTAGTTATGGTAAATAATGCTGCAATAAACATAGTTGTGCTGGTAGCTTTAGTATGGTCTTGTTTGTGATCATTTGGGTAAATGCCCAAAAGTGGGATTGCTGGGTCATAGGGGAGCTCTATGTGGCGTCTTTTGAGGAACCTCCATACTGCTTTCCAAATTGGTTGAACAAGTTTACACTCCCACCAACAATGCAATAGGATTCCCTTCATGTCCACATCCCCTCCAACATCTGTTGTTATTAGAGTTCTTCATGATAGCCATTCTAACTGGGGTGAGGTGGTATCTCAATGTTGTTTTGATTTGCATTTCTTTTATGGCTAGAGAGGATGAGCATTTCTTCATGTGTCTATTAGCCATCCTTCTTTCCTCTTCAGAGAAGTTTCTCTGTAAGTCTTTAGCCCACTTGTTTATTGGGCAGTTGTTTCTTTGAGGATTTGTTGTTGGGCAATTACCCCATTTGTTAGGAAATGGAAAAAACTGGAAAAAAATATGTTAAGTGAAGTAAGCCAGGCCCAAAGAAACATAGGTCCCGTGGTTTCCCTTATTTGCAATAACTAATATATGTCTGAGACATGCAGAAAAGGTCAGATAAATTGATGTTAGGCAAAATGAACCCCAAGATAAGGACTCAAGTGATTTTTCTTTCTTGCTATTATTTCTAATGTATTTATAAGGTGATATTTTTTGTTACTTTGTATATCCCTCTCCCACAGTATTACCCCTGCTTTCACTGTATTTGATGTTGGTATAATTTGGGGAGGGGAAGGGAAAAAACAAATTGTTTAAATAGGGATAAAGGTGGACCCATTGCAACAATGAACTGTACAAGACATTATGTTGAGAAATGAACTTTACAACTTTGGCATGGGGGAGGGGATGGAAGGGAAGGGATGGGAGGGGAAAAACAGGGGAGGAGGCAACAATGCTTGATGAGAAATGTACTCATTACCTTGATCATGTAGTTGTAACCCCTCTGTACCGTATTTTCACAACAAAAAATTAATAAAAAAGAAAAAAATTGCCATTCATTCTTAATATTATAGAATTATTATTTCAGGTGTTATTTTAAGAAACTGAAAATGTGTCAGACACTATTTTTTTTTTTGTCAGTTGTGGGGCTTGAACTCTGGGTCTGGGCGCTGTCCCTCAGCTCTTCAGCGCCACTTCCGGTTTTCTGAGTGGTTTATTGGAGATAAGTCTCCTAGACTTTCCTGCCCTGGCTGGCTTTGAACTTCGATCCTCAGATCTCAGCCTCCTGAGTAGCTAGGATTACAGGCGTGAGCCACTGGCTGGCTCAGACACTACGTTTTGAAGGAAGAGTATTGAAAAATACTAGTATCATAGGAGAGTTTCTATCATAGGAGTGTGCTTAGTCAGAAAGCTGGCAATTGGGAGTTTTCCTGGGGTAATATGTTATGAGACAGAAAGTTCTAGTAGAGGAAAATTCTTCTGAGTTCAGTATGAGAAACTTAATCTTGAATTCTCCTAACTTTTAAACAGCAGGCAGAAGTCAACATGGATAAGATCTTGTGGTACAGCTTTCTGTTGATTTCTTCTGGAAGTCAAGCCTCAAGAACCTGGGCTCAAAGGAACATGGAATTCGCAGTGGATCTTTATCAGGCAATTTGCTTATCTCACGACAACAATATTGTCTTTTCCCCTCTTGGAGCAACTGTCCTTCTGGGAATGGTGCAACTGGGGGCAAAAGGAAAAGCACAGCTGCAGATAAGACAAACTTTGAAACTTCCAGAAATCTCAACTGGTGAGACTTGCATGCAACTATTAATAGCAGATAAGATGCCCTTGTTTTTGTATGTTTTTATTGTAAAAATGCTGTACAGGGGTTACAGTGACATGAGTAAGGTAATGAGTACATTTCTTATTGAGCATTGTTGCCGCCTTTGTTTTCCCCCTACTACCCCTTCCCTCCCACCTCTACAACTACCCGCCCCCAGAAGTTGTAACACCAGAAGTTGTAAAGTTCGTTTTCAACATAGTGCCTTGTACATCACATTGTTACAATGGGTCAACCTGTATCCTTATTTAAGCATTTTGTTTTTTCCCTTCCCCTCCCCAAACTAGAGAAATCATAGAACTTGAACAAGGGAAAAACATCACCGAAAGTCTAACAACAATATTAAATTAGAGAACTCCAAGTGTAAGTCATTTTTAGTCATTTGTACCCATTTCTCAGTGCAAATAAATTGTAAAGAAATCACTCAGCAGGGCATATGATGGCTCATGCCTATAATCCCAGCACTAAGGATGCTAAAGCAAGAGGATCATGAAACCGAGGCCAGTCTGGGCTACATAGTAAGACCTTGTCTCAGAAAACCCAACATAAACAAAAAAGAAATGAATATCCAGACAGATGCAGTCTTTGTATTTTCTGATGTGTTTGGTTTTGTCAGTGTTGACATTTGTGTTCTATGTCATTTAATGTTTACATATGTAATATACATGCATATTTTTTATTACCACATACTATGTTGTAATATATGTTGTGATTATCTGATATCATTAGAATGACACAAAATACTCTGTGTGTGTGTGTGTGTGTGTGTGTGTGTGTGTGTGTGTGTGTGTGTGCCAGTTCTGGGGCTTGAACTCTGCCTGTGAGCTGTTTTGCTCAAGGCTAGTATTCAATCACTTGATCTAAAGCTCCCCTTCTGGCTTTTTTTGGGTAGTGAATTGGAGATAAGAAACAGCCTGGGCTGGCTTCCAATCTTAATCCTCAGATCTCAGTCTTCCAAGTAGCTAGGATTACAGGTGTGAGCCACCAGTGCCTGACTTCAAAACACATTTCAAATCATTGTACTTAGTTTCTTTTTGTGGAGGTATATCACTTCCTAAGTCTCTCTTTTATAAGGTTGTTTCTTCCACTTGCATAAAAATAATGTGCTCCCACCCAACCAAGAGATCAAGCAAAACATTAATTCATGCCTTTAAGAGTTTATTGAATAGCTTCAAAGGGCAATTTGAAATGCACATTTAAATTACCCAGAAGCCTCTTGCTCATAGGAGTTGTTTTCGTAGGAGTCTTCCTGAGGCTCATATGGTAAGCAGAGTTTGCACCTGACATCCCATTTGAAAGATCTCCCAGACCATCTTCTGCTTTTGACTTTCACGGTGGTTGGCACTTTAATCTTTTACATTACTTCAAACCATAGAACTATCAAGAGGAGGCATGGGATTTTTGATTTGGGACTTCAGTTGCATTATCTATACATCACTTGAGTATATTTGCATTTAGCACAGAGTAACTCTGTTTAGGAATTTGATTTTCTGAAAATACTATCCACAAGATTTAAAAATAATCAGTTCATTTGTTAAAAATGTAGAGTTTGGAGACGTGGCTCAGGTGGCAGAACACCAGCTAATGAGCAAAGTGTCAGGTATGAAGTTTGAGTCCCAGTCTTGGAACAAAAAGAAAGAAAGAAAAAAAATTGTACAGAAAAAATTTGGTGGTTAGTGATTTGCAACCATTTCCCTCTGTGAATAATGAATAATAAGGTCACTGTATTCTGGATATATCTTGATTGATTTCAGCAAATCCTACATCACACACAAAACCATTTAAGTTACATGGCACCAGCTTGAAAACGAATTTAAGATATACAAATGAATGTAAAGATGAATCAAGTATAGCCTAGGAAAATTAAGAGCCTCTGAAATCAAAATTACATCAGATGGCTAGATTATAGAGAGAAACAGAAAGATGAAGGGCTATGGATTTTGAACACCATTGCCATTGTCATCATCATAACGATGCATCAAACATCCACATTGTGTAGCAGACTCTACTATGTGGATGTGTGTCATTTCGTTCTGTTGAGACTATGTCATCTCAATTAATATCTGTTTATGATAACTCTGTCAGGTAACTATGAATCTGCTCTATAAACATAAGCCCTTTGGCCAGAGATAATTGAAATAAGACATTCTGTGAGGCTTATAGACAATAAAATTAGTAGGAAAATAAATATGGTTTTCTTGAAAGAAAATGTATAGCAAATTAAACCTTAACCCTTCAATATTTTTAACAAAATTTACCAAAATAGTTCTCTATTATACCTTAACACATAGAGTTACAGAAGAAACATGCTAAAATACAACAGAGGTATATGCATTAAAAAATATGAAAAAGTAAAACTCCATGGAAATTAAAAGGACAAGCAATACAAATAAAGGGAAAGACAGAGGAAGTAGAATCGCAAAGGGAGGGTGGCTCAAGAGGTGAAGCCTTCATCCACTTGGTACAAGACCCAGTACCACCAAAGATCTGTGGAAAATACTGAGTGAATGTGAGGGAAAGAGATGGAATAAAGAAAAGGCTCAGACAGCCTGAAAAGGTAGAAGGGCTTTAGAGCGACAAAGGGTAGAACAGATCAACAGGAAATAGTATCTATATTGAACACTATATTGAAACCTAGGACAAAAGGAAAAATCAAAACATTGATCTTGCCTTTATTTTAAATTGTTATATTTTGTTCACCATAGTTTTGCATTAATCTTAAGTTACTAAAATGTTGCATTGCATGTTTGTATATCTTACTTGTTCATATGGCGGGAGGCAGTAGTGGGGTCTAGAGTGTGAATTGACCACTATCCCTAAACTTTTTATTTTTTTTGCACAAGGCTAGTGCTCTATCACTTGAGCCACAGCTCTGCTTTTGGCTTTTAGGTGATTAATTGAAGATAAGAGACTCATGGACTTTCCTTCCTGGGCTGGCTTTGACCTAGGATGCTCAGATCTCAGCCTCTTGAGTAGCCAGGATTACAGGTGTGAGCCACTAACATCTGGCTTGCTGATTTTTCCCCCCAGCATTTACTTAAGTTGTGTTTCTAAAGTGTCTTATTGACTTCCTTTAATCTGGGCAACTGACTTCAGTCCACTTCCAACTTTCAAAACCACAGTCAGTCCTGACTTTTGCCTTTTCCTGTTAGCCATCAGTTGTCACTGTCCTACTTTCCCATGTTAACTAAGCTTGGGTTATTCTGTGGGTCCGCAGGTGTGCACACTCAATGCTGGCCTTGGGAGGTTGTGTCCTCTTTTTCCTTTGGAGCAGTGGCGGAGCACCTGCTAGAGACTGCCTACTCCATCTTGCTGAAAATCAGATCATGCTCTGCTTTGCTTTCTCCTAACTAATCAATGGCCACATCATTAGCTCTTCTTTATTCCAAGAGAGCTATGAAAGAGATCCTGAATGGGTGATGTATCTCAATGGTGAAACACTTGTCTAGTATGAGTGAGGCTTTACATCAATCCCTACCCTAGCAATGAAGAAAGGAGGGGGAGTAGAGAACTTAGCATGAATTTGAATCCCAGCTTTCACCTCAATGATCTTGTAATTAACTGTATTTGTTCACTTCTCTAAATTAAAGATTCCTTCTCTTTTTAAAAGTAAGAGTTTACTGATTACATAGACCTTAAAATGATTACATAGACCTTAAAATGATTACATAGACCTTTTGGCTGAAATAATCTATTATCATTTTCTGATGAGCAGTATTCACCTCTTTGGGTCATTGACATAGACATTCAACTGGCCTTCACGCTCTTAGCAGTTTGGGGCATTTTCTGGAATGCTTGGTACCCTCAAACCAAGAGTCCCTCCTCATGATCTCTTGCTTCCATCACGGCTCTATTTCAGAAGTGAATGCTACTGCTTCCTATTGCTTATCAAGAGCCATACATATGGATTCTTTTCGATCGGTGCTAAATGAGGCTATTAGCTTATCAGTTTAATCCAATTTATAAGGCAGATCACTTTATATTGTCCTCCAAACTTGTGCTTCTTGGTGACAGTTTTTCATTGGACTTCCAAGTCCAGAGACTTATCAAGGGCAGCTGTTTGTCACTTAGATCTTAAGTATACGACATAAGCCTATTTGCTCTGACAAATGCGTTAGAGCTATTTTTTTCTCCTCTTTCTTTTATTCCTCTCCCACCCCCCCCCCGCCAGCCCTGTTTCTTCTGAGATGTTCATAAATTACAAATTTCTATAAAATTGGGTTCAAAATTTGTCACCTTGTTTCTGATCTGAAAATTAGTTTCAACTTCTGTTTCTGACCTTAATTAATTACTTTAGAGAAGCTTTACCATCTTTACTCAGAAAGTTTTCTCTGTAAACCCCCAATGACTGAGATACTTTTTCTCAAGCCTCAAATGGCAATAAATAATTGCATCTGGTATCATTATATCAACAAATAAAGCAGGTTAACTTTCTTCCTTTATATGAATTATTCTTTTTTGGAGGGGGGAGGGTCCGGTCGTGGAGCCTGAACTCTGGGCCTGGGCACTGTCCCTCAGCTCTTCAGCTGAAGGCTAGCGCTCTACCACTTGAGCCACAGTGCCACTTCCGGCATTTTTCTTTTTGCTTATGTGGTGCTGAGGAATCGAACCCAGGGCCTCATGCATGCAAGGCAAGTGCTCTACCACTGAGCCACCCTCCCAGCCCCTGAATTATTCTTGAGTTGGAAAAAATTGTAGAATTCAGGTCTAATCCTATAGAAGTATATTTCTATATTTAAAGTCTCTGATGTGGTTGTCTCTATGTCAGTGAATAAAATGTCTTGAAGTTTGAAATATAATGCAATACACCTGTCAAAACCTCCTATAAGGACATACAGATTGTACCCGTATAAGAACATCAGAACAGCCAGTAAGGTAGCAACTGAAATGTAGCCTCCACTCAGCTGCACAAGATATAGGAGCCCCAAAATGACAGCCTCTTTTTATGTAAGCTTATTGTCTATTGTTTTTTTTAAATTTTTATTGTGTCATTTAACAAAGCATAATACAATATATCTTGATCAATGTCACCACCTTCAACATTCTCATCCATCCCTCCCCTACCCACCTTTTCTATCACTCTTCTAAATGTTGTAGGATATACAATGAATTCTTAACTACTCTCTACCCCTCTTTTCCTCTTCATTTGTCTACCTCTTTCCCCATTGACCCTACCCCACACCTTTCAAGTATCCACTTGTTTTATTTTGTTGTATTTGTACCAAGATACCCTAAGGGATGCTTAAGCCCCATAAAAAAATGTGTTCACAAACACACCTATACACCTTATTTTCATTAGGTATCTATTAGCAATTTCCTCTCATCAATGAAAATATAATCCCTTTATACATCACCTTTATAATAGCAATAAAGTAAATTAACAAAAAAGAAATGTCCTTATTATCTGATTTATGTAACCCGTATCCCTCTGTACGTTACCTTTACATTGACAATAAAACAATTTAAAAAAGAGAAAGAAAGAGTTAGTAAGTAAGACATCACTTCAAGGTAATAAGGTTTATTCATGGAGTATCATTTAATGGTAGACAGTTGATGTTTTCTTCAATAGAGATTAACTTTAACTTATGAAAGTGGTATTTAATTGAAACTAAAATGAAGACTCTGAAAGAACTCATTATTTGAAAGTATCTGGGTTACTGATTGAGTATCATGTCAAAAGTCAAAGGTAAGTGAGAAATCTTTGTGGTTTGGAATGAGTTGGAAGCTAGTTGGGAAAGTATTGACATAGCTGTGTCCCAATCATATCCCTTGAGCACTGCGGTCACAAACATCCCACCGATAAATAACAGGCCAGTAGTGACTCTTTTAGCTGACGCTTGATTCATCTGGTTATTAGCTATAGTTGGAATAGTAAAAGATTTTCATTATTCCTTCAGAATGCCAAAATATATATGTTGTGAGACCAAACAAGAAGGCGAATCTGATTCTTACCTATCTCTAGAGAAAATTCTGTGGATTACTTGGTGCTCTTGAAGCCTGGACAGGAAAAGTTGCTCCAAGAGCAATTCTTTCTTAGGCTGAGATAAAAATTACTTTGGAAAGGGCCATCCATCACTGTCATACCCCCCCTCGACGTTCATTAATATTCCTCTTTCATGAATATCGCTTGTGCATAATATGATGCACAAAGAACGAGATGCTAAACTTAAATTTCTAGCAACTAAATCTGAGCTAACTCTAAACAAGGACTCTCCTTTAGCCAATAAATGCATATTCTTGTCTTCAGCAAATTTTACATTTCTGTGATCTTTCTTTTTTTCTTACATAAAAAGTCGATTTTCCTACAAAATCCATATTCTCCCAGAGATAGACACTTGGAATATTTATACTAAGTTAGGATTGTTAGTTATACCTATGAGTACAAAAATGTTTCTATGAATCAGCGATGCTTAGATAGCAAAGCTGAAAAGCTGTTGTTTTTATGTTGTTCAATATGTCAGTATACATTCTAATTATTTTTTAGGAGAAGAATTTTCTGCACTGAAGTCATTTTTCTCTGCCAGCTCAGAGAAAAAACAAGAATTTACATTTAATCTTGCCAGTGCCCTCTACCTTCAAGAAGGATTCTCAGTGAAGGAACAATATCTCCATGGCAACAAGGAGTTTTTTCAGAGTGCTACAGAACTGGTGGATTTTCTGGATGCAATAGCTTGTGCACAGACAATAAATACCTGGGTAGAAAGCAAAACAGATGGTAAAGTTTCCATTATCATTCCATCATTATTTTCCATTGTATCCCTGGCTTTTAATATCTTAAAGAATGACCAATTCTCCATTCACTAAGGATGAAAAGGATCAAATCTCCTCTTTAATGTCACTGTTAATTAAATTAATACTGACTTGGAAAACTAAGAGAAATTGTAAACTGCTTTAAAAAGTATGCTGTTTCTTTCACTATGTTTTTGAGAGGTTTCTATATTTAATTCAATACTTTTAATAATAATAATAGTCTCAGCCAAGCATTCATTTTTTGTTGAGGTATGAGCATTTTTGGCTAAGGGGAAGTTAAATCTGTCAATCCCAAATGTTTTCTTTCTCACAGATGCTGTCATTAATTAGCATGTTGGCATTGGGCACATTAATATTTACCAGTAAATGTTAAGTCCTATCAAAAACTTGTCAGTCTAGTCTGACCTTTAAATACAAGTTAGCAGAAATGCCCAAGTGACAAGTTAGCAGAAGTGCCCAAGAGAGAACTTATAAATGGAAGGTCAGGTAGATCTGAGTTCAAATGCTAGCAAGTTACATGTTAGACATCTCCTTGAAAATGTGGATACTAGGAAAATGTTCCAGGGTTACTAGAAGTTTTAATAGAAACAAATGTGAAGGTACAGAATACACCAGGCCCTTGATTAGCGGTGGTTTCTTTGCTTGATTATTCATTATGCTATAGCAACTTATGATCTTGTAGGATGTCACTGCTCATGCACAACTTTGGGAAACCCAAGTTGAGATGGGGTAGTGAGGTGTGCTTGCAAGGACTCCATAGGAGGGGTGCACCAGGTTTCATCCTGCTCATGATTCTTACCTTGGATACTGCTTGTTTAAGAAAAGAACCATACTAGCACACATTGTTTTTGCCCTTTTGGCTAAGTTTGGGTGAGCCATTAACCCTTCCAATATGGTAGACCTGCTAGATCACCTTGAAATGTAGTCTAGGTCAGTACCAGTAAACATGAAGAAAGAAATATTTGCTCTGCATTCTTTCTGGCTGAGAAACAATGGCTGCAACTAGCCTCAAACCCAGAATCCATTACTCTGCCCAAATTTGCTTAAACAATTTCATTATCTCCTGTTGACTCCTAGCACAATCCCATGTGCACCTATCTCTTAGTAAAATATTCAATAACAGCCTTTTCTTTCCTCTCAAAATGACTGGGGTTGTGTGATAAGGCACCTTACCTGAAATATTCCTGCCAAGACATTTTGCTTTCATTTATTCAAAGCAGTTCCACGGAGTCACAGTTGCATATTTCTTGCCCTTTCTAGGAAAAATTAAAAACCTGTTTTCAATGGGAGATTTTGGCCCTCTGACCCGCCTGGTCCTGGTGAATGTTATTTATTTCCAAGGGGACTGGAAACAGAAATTCAGAAAGGAAAACACGCAGCTGATGAATTTCACTAAGAAAGAGGGTTCTGCCATCAAAATTCCAATGATGACGGCTCAGTTGAGGACAAAACATGGTAAGATGAGAAGCTATCTGATGTAATGCCTGGCTTTGGCTGTTGCCAAAATACTCAATATTTTGTATTTCCGGTTGCAGGTTATTTTTCTGAATCCTCCACGAAGTATCAGGTTTTGGAATTGCCTTACAAGGGGGATGACTTTAGTTTAATCATCGTCCTTCCTGCAAAAGATGTACACATGGAGGAAGTGGAAAAACAAATTACTGCTGGTCAAATCCTAAAATGGTCCTCCGAGATGCGAGAAGAGGAAGTAGAAGTGGTCCTTCCTAGGTGGGTGGACATGTTCTGGTTCTTGAATTACAAATGGAATCCTATGGTCAATTTTTTGACAGTTAACACAACCTACAAAGGATTACTTTAGGCTATCAAACTTAATATTATGTTTCTAAGAGAGAGTGGAAGCTGTAGATGAAGAAGAATGTATGCTAATAACCCAGGGCTCACTTCATCTTAACTTTTGCAAACGCCACAAAGAGAGAGAGAGAGAGAGAGAGAGAGAGAGAGAGAGGATGAGACTGAATCTATCCATCGTTTCTAATTTCCCTTCCAAGCTCAACCAGGACATCATGGGCTGTACTTCATTCTTTCCATCCTGGTTTTTGTTTCTTTCTCTACTTAGCTAGGAACACTTTCAGTTAATCCTTTCGGTCAAATGCTCACCAACAGCTGTGATGTTTTTGTCTTCTTGTTTCTTTCCTTTAATTTTCCTCTTTTGTCCTTCAAGAGTCTTGAACTTGGGGCCTGGGCACTGTCTCTGACTTTTTTTGGCTCAAGCTAATCCTCTATCACTTTGAGCCACAGTGCCATTTCCATTTTTCTGGTAGTTAACTGGAGACAAGAGTTTCATGAACTTTCGTGCTCAGGCTGGGTCTGAACCAAGATCCTCAGATCGCAGCCTCTTGAGTAACTAGGATTACAGGTGTGAGCCACTAATACCTGGCTTTGTTTTGTTCTTTTAATAAGCTACATTTGCCCCAGTATGACTGATTTTGGGGGAGAAATAAAGTTCTAGCAAGCAGATATTTCCAGCCTCATGAAGGTTGGAGCTCAGGATTCTTTGTTTTTCTGAAGAAATCACATCATACTAGAACATCTGTGACTCTTCTGTTCCTTCTCTATAACTCAGGGAATTGAACCACAAGCACTCTACCCCTACATTCCTGACCCTTCAGCCTTCTATTCTTACAGAAAATATATCATTACATTTTCACATCTCTATCTTAATCAGTTCTCTGATATTCTGGTGTCATATGAAAAGGTTACAATATATTTTTCTTGCAGTTTCATCCAAATATTACCAAGTGCCTCTTTTTCTCAAAAAAGTTTCATGCTTTTATTGCATATGGTGTATATTAAATCTTTCTCCTTCAATTCTTTCTCTTTTCCCATTCTCTTTCTTCCTCTCTCTTCTATCTCCCTTTCTCTCTCAATCTTTTTTATGCCTTCCTTTTCTTTTCTGTTCTCAAATAAAAATGTCCACTCAAGCTTTATCTCCAGAATTTTATCTTCTATGCTCTCTAAGAAATATTATTTCCCCTATTCCTGTCTCTGAAATCTGATTCATGAACTCCAACCTCACTAGCAATTCTGTATCATCTCTATAGTTCCCTGGAGGTTATCTATTTTTTCCCCAAAGATATTTTCTAGTTATTATTATAATGCTGAGGATACAATTCATTCTGTGATAGATACCTTGCCTTCTAATAATTGAAATAATAGTGATAATTTTAAATCAAATTTTTATCTTTCCAAATTTAGTTCCTTCTTCCCCCCCTTTCCCCAAAGGAAAAGAAAAAAAAAAGCAGAATGTAAATTTGGGAAGTTCACTGTTTTTGCATAAAAATCCATACTATATATGGCCTGTGTGGTCTCAGGGGAATCTCAACATAAAATGAAAATATTGATACTTATAATCAATCTATACTCAGTTTTGCAGCCTAGAAAATAAATGTACCAACAAAAATAGAGGATCCTCAATCTCAGCTGAAAACAGGAAATAAAGACTTATACCAGAATTCTCTTCTCTAGCACTTTTAGGGATTCCTGAGGGAATGCTTCATAAATCCATCCAGGCTTCTGTAGTCTAGAAACTTCTCTGCGTCAGTCTTAATTATCCTCTTCTCTAACCATCACCACCTCTCCCACACAATTACTCTCATGGCGTAGATTCATTCTCTAATTCCTCCAGGCTCCAGCTGTTAAGGATTGAATTGTGTTTTCCCAAACTGTGGCAAGGAAGTGCTAACACCCATATTCTGAAGGCGATTTTATTTGAAGACAAGGTCTTTATAGAAGAATTAAATTAGAGCTTGCTGTCCTTATAGAAAAGGTAAATTGGCACACAGAGATGAACACAGCAGGAAGAGGACCTGAAGAGGCAAGGAAAAAATATAGCCATATGTAAGCCAAGAAAAAGTGAATAAACCCATCCTTTCTTCAGAACTGCCCCAAGAAACCAAGGAGGCAAATACCTTGTATTTGGACTTCTAGCATCCACAACCCTGAAAGAATAAATCCATGTCTTTAGGCCTCTTAATTTGTGGTACTGCATTATGGTGACCATACTAAGTAATAGAAACAAAACTCTAGGAGAAGTCTGGTGATAGCAAAGGACCAGTCATGTAGAACGCCTCATGGTCTTCAAACAGAGAGGTGATGATTTTGATAATAATAAGATAGGTGAAGCGGCTGCATTAATTTCTTAGAAGTGTTGTAAGGTAAATCATACCAGAAGCCACATTTTAAAATATGGAATTTTGGAGTCTTTAATATACAGTTAACAGGCTGCGGAGGCAAGCCAGGAGACAGGACACAGAACATGATCACAGTGACACCCGTGGCATGGAGTCCTGGGAGCTAGGCTGGTCCAGGCCTAAATAAGTCGGTGCAGGGGGCAGATCCTCAGAAAATTCCGAGTCCCAGGCACTAGACTGACAGATTCAGTAACCCATCAGCCAAGTGCCTGCCCCTGCCTCCAGGGGTCCGGGCACACCCATCACCTGGGAGGCTGGTGATGGGCAGGGGTGTTTCTTTTCCCCAGCAGGAAGACAAGATGCCAGACCCATCCACCATGTGGCCAATATGGCACCGGCCAGACCTGCCCTCCTTACTTCAGAAGTACTATAAAAATAACAATACAAGGAAAGAAACCAATACAGACTATGTGATTTAAAACAACGGGAATCTGTTCTTTGGCACTTCATATCTAAAAGTCCAAAGTCATTGGGTTCTTTGGGGCACACAGTCACTGAGATTTTAGGTAGCATGGGCTTTTGCTCTTGTTCTGCAATAGGCAGCCGTCCTAGGAGCTTCTTGGCTGGTAGATTTATGACCTCATTATTTATTCTCCATCGTTCTTGTCACCTGCCATCTGTCTTCACAGGGCATTCTCAGATATAATAAAGACACTAATTGTAGGTCGAAGGGCCCACCCTACTCCAATATGACCTTAGCCTCATGTAATGAACCGATTTCCAACTAAAATCAAGTTGTAAGATGGTGAGATTAGGCGTTCAACATATGACTATGAGTACAGAGCAGAGATGTAACTCAACCAGTTACACATATGATACTAAACTTTGAGTTTCTGTTAAACAAACTTTTGTTTGTAACAGAATTTTAGGCCCTAATGAGAGGAATAATGATCATAAGACTGCTTGTTTCCAAGCTATATTAGGATCATGTGACTGCTAAGTTATAGTTATTATTTACAAGATACTTAATCTTTCTTTGTTGATAATGCACAACTAGTTTAGAGTTAATTCAATATAGGTATACTCTAAAAGCACTACAGTGGTAGCTAGCATTTCTGATCTTTCTGTAACCTACTAGATATCTAATTTTAGATATTGTCTCATACTTGGATATCAGCTAAAATAATCTTCACACTTTGTCTAAATGCAATATGAGATCTTATAAATATCTTAGAAGTTAAACTTCGTTAGGTTAAAGCGTCAAATCCCATTCTTCCAATTTATCAGATTCCTCTGTATATACTAAAAAATAAAAATAAAACAACCCCCAAACCTTTCTGAGCCAGGATCTGGCGGCTCATATTGGTAATTCTAGCCACTCAGGAAGCTGACGTCTGCAAGATCAAGTTCAAATGCAGCCTGAGCAGGAAAGATGGGGTGAGGAGAGGTGTCCCCCTCTAAAATAGTAGTCAGTAAGCTGGACTGGAGGTATGGCTTGAGTGATTGATAGACATCAACTTAGCCAGATAACTGATTAAGTGAAAGACCCTGAGTTCAAACCATAATTCCAGAAGAAAAAAAGCTTTCTGAGAATATGCTCATATATAGTTAGAAAGTGAACATAGAGCCAGGCATGAATGGTGGTGGTTTGTACCTGTAATTCCATTGTTCCAGAGACTGAAGAGAGAGGATCATATTAAAACATTTTTAGGCTGACTGGTGAATTCCAGGTCTGTTTCATTAAAAAGAAGAAATGGGATTTCACATACTGGGAGAGGAACACCTGGCTTTTGTTTTTCAATAAAGAAGAACTCTGGGTTTAAAGAAGAGTAGACTATCCTAATACACAGAAAGGCTTGAACACCAGGAAGGCTTCTATGTTTAAACCTAAATTTGGGTTGTTTTCCTTCATTTTCTTCAGCTTTTACCCAGGTGAGACCTACTTCAGCACAACGGTTACGGTTGGAAATTTACTGCTATCTCTTAAGCAATTAGACACTGTGTGTCTATGCCAAAAATTCATTTCATAGTTATTTAATTGCTGTTTCTCTAGCTGCATCGTTGTTGTTCATTTATTTCCCATAGAAGGGCTGTTCCTTTGATGATTTCTGTGGAGGATCAAGGAAAAGGATAGATTAAACACAGCCGCAATAAATATGAGCACTCACATTCTTTAGAAGTGAGGCTACGTATATTGATTGAGATGGTGGTTTGGAATTACAGTTTGATTAGAAGGCAGTTGCATTCAGCACATTAACTTTGATTTCAAATGGACCTGAGTTTGAATCATAGCTCTACTGTCTATCTTGACTTTGAGCCTGGAAGTCAACTTTCTTAAAACTCTGCTTTCCTATGTATTCATGGTAATAAGAATGAGAATAAGCATTTTGTGAAAAATTAATGTTTTATATTACATGCCTAATTCATAGAACTGGAATTTCATCTATGGCTGTTTGTGGCTCCAATAATTAGGGATACTTATAACGATGGCAGATTATAATTTCATTAAACAGTTGAATGCATTTGCATTGCTGTAGGTTGCGTTGGACTAGATTATGAGCAGAGCAGTTATTTAAATGACTTTCCAGTGATGATTAGACATTATTAGAAGTTGTAATAAGTCTTGCAATATTCCTGTCATTATCTTAAATTTATTGCACTATTATAATAAAAATAGCCTAATTTGTAATATACTAGAATATATAGTTGTCACTTTGAGAGGTCCATATTCCATTCAGTTTAATGAGTATGATAGAAACAGAAAAAAACCCCTCAAAAGTATCATGCTGCATTTTATATTTCTTAGTGAGAAGTTATAAGAAAGGATTGAACTCATTTGGCATAAATATTTGATATAAATAACTGTAGATTTTAGCTCAGTCTATTCCAGAACTACAGATAGTGTAATCAGGAAATAGACAGAGATCAGTAAGTACCTGATATGGCGTGGTCACGGATTTGAGGAATTATATTTGACAGCGATCTAATTAGCCTGATTGCCCAAAGTAGTTTCCAGTGGAACCCAGGGCCCAGCAACTGTCAGGCCATAGACCTCCTTAGTCAGGAGTGTCCTCTGATATGGGAAACAGATTCAGGCCCTGGTTGAGGGGGTGCTACATTCATTTCTTCCCTGTTGTTGGACAACATTTGCAATGTGTCTTTAGAATGCTCACTAATGATTTAAACATCCATAAAATAAAAAAGTCCTTGTTCTTTCCTCCTTGTATTTAAATGGGAAAATGAAATTCAGAGACTGCTATTTCCTGGATGTTACAGAAAGATCATAACTTGAGAGAATCTTTGAGATTCTCTGGCTAACACTCTTCCTAGAACAAAGATGTGAGCTGGGTGCTGGAGTCTGCACTCAAGGCTCTTGCATTAGAAGCACAGATTGCCCCGCCCCATCTCTTCTTTTATCCTTTCTTTCCTTTGAAAGGAAAGTTCCCTTCCAACCTTGCAGTAGTCTAAGCCTTTTCAACTCCTGCATACATAGAAGGAAGCAAGTTACGCCAACTCTGAGTGGATGGGATGAAGGATAAGCCATAAATGCCCCTCTGAACTAGTAATCCTCTTAGTATCAACAATACCTTTTAGTAGCTAACCAACGTCTCTGAGGATTATCAACTCATTTTTCTGCCCATACTATGATGGACATTTGCCAGGAACTATGTTTGATACGTAGTGAAAAACTTGAGTGCATTGAATGGTTAGAGAAAATCTTCACACTGTCTAGGAAGAAGCTAAGCAATGACAAGTAAGAACTGTTTCTTTGGATAATTGTTACTTCAAAAGCAAACAAGCACACAAAAAAGAATATTCCATTCCAACTAACCATTTATGCAGAAGCAAAATTTTTTAGCAACTTCTTGCTGACGGATAGATCCAGTAAAAATGGTATGAGATTTGAGAAAATGTAATTTAGAGGAAGGAAAATATAATCTTATAATGTAATCTCTTCCAGGTAATTTATTTTATATATAAAAAAGCATTTTGCTCACAAATGTGTGCAATGTTTCAAGATTTTTCTTCTTCATTTTTTTAAAACAGATTTACCATAGAACACAAATTAGACTTCAAAGAAGCTTTGTATTCTTTAAATGTAACTGAGATGTTTAGTGGTGGCTGTGACCTTTCTGGCATAACAGGTAATGCGATAAATATCATTTATATTGTCACGTTGATCTATTTTCTTTACACGGGATTACCTGACTAATCTGAAAACTGAACGGATACTCAATCCCAGCAAACACATGCACTGGTAAATGTATATAGCACAATCATGTAGAGTTGTGTGTTCTATTTTACATTTAAAAAATTATCGTTCATAAAACTGAAAAACCATTTCCTAATGTAAGATAAGCATTTTAACCACACTTTCAATGGAACTAGGAAGGTAAAATGATTACATGGATTTTGTTTCTACCCTGCTTGTTCATTTCCTTGTCTGAAAAATGGGAATTAAAACTTGGATTCTCTCTTGTAAAGAGGGCTTATAAATCTCTGATAAACCAATTTGAAAATATTAGTTCAGTGTTAGTAGAGCCCAGGAAATAGGCAACCATCCACATGCTACTAGATAATGCTCGTGATCAGGGAGTTGCAATGCTCTGCAGAGCTGGCAGACTTAACAAAAGTCCTTTGGGCTAATGACAAATTGGAGATGGAACGTTCATACTAACTTGCACCTGGGGAATTATGCCTGGTTAAATTGCTTGTGTGAACAATAGTGCCAACACAGTCTTTTAATCCTCTTCATTTACGGAAGTTCTCACTCATTCAAAAAACTGAAGAAGCCAGGCCCCATTGGCTCACGCCTGAAATTCCTTCTACTCAAGGAGGCTGAGATTTGAGATAAGTCTGAGAGACTCTTTATCTCCAATTAACCACCAATAAAGCCAGAAATAGAGACATGGATTTTTTTTTGTATTTGCATACAAATACCTGGACCATGGAGAGGTATTCAGATTGATTTATTCACGCATCAATCTTGTGGGTAGATGAGCAGAATGAAGGAGGCTTCCTGGTAGAGATGGTGAGTGAGGCTCATGTATGTCAGTGATGTTTACGATTATATTGACACTGATACACCTACTGATTTGTTCTTACAGTGACAGACAGGCATTGAGCCCTTCACTACATTATTGATAAACCCAGCCACTTTCACACTCTTCTTCCTCTCCAACTTCTTGCTGGCTGTAGGAATCTCACTCAGTATACCTTAGGCATTCGATTAGGGACACACCCCACACATACCCAGCAATTTGTGACTTCTATATATCCTTTGACAAACAGATTCAAAAAAGTACCTTCAAAATGCTTCAGATGTGAATGTATAGAACAGAGGAGCCTTGAGCAGAGGCGAGAATAAATGTCCAGTATTTTCTACTGTTTTCCTCTTAGGTTACCAATTTGAGATGTTTCACCTATTTTGCTTTGTTTGGCTTAGAATAGAATGACCTTAGCCACTGCAGATACTACAGGCAGTGAGTTAATTCCCTGCCACCCATAGTTACCATATGCAATTAATATTCACTATAAGTTATTATCAGCTGGTCCAAAACTAGTGGTATGGGGCATGTGAGTGATTGAGATAATACTGTTTGCATATGTCACTCATGTGTTGTAAGTATAATATTTTAGAGGGTTAATTTGGGAAACTTTGGGATTCATGTTTGACTTCTCACAGTGCTGTTTGCTTCCATGTGATCTGTTATCCTTCTGAGTCTTAACTACCTATTTGCAATGAGATCCTGTGTCTTTAATGACTCTTGAGAAATAAATACAAGAATGTATGCAGATTGCATTCTTTCATCTTTCACATCATAGACACATAACAGCTAGTAAATTACAAGTGAGGGAGGAGTTGCCCCTTAATCTATAATTGCCTCTCTTCCAGAAAAGCAATAGAAACCTTCTAGCTCATTCAATTTAATGAAGACATGCTTGGAATTCTCAAAGAAACATAAGAACATAATTACCATTACAAAGGTAGAGAAGATGGTGAGATGGCAGAGCTGCAGTTCTTGTTCTGAGCTATCATTTCTATGAGCTGTGGGTCTCTGAGGTCCATGCCTTATCTTCAGTGAGGTGGACAGCCACAGACCTGTGGCTCAGTTAGGGAAGCATTTGGACGGTGGCCATTGTGACCCTATTCCTCTCCAACCTACCTTTTGGCCCTTGGGTCTTTTATTCTGTGTTGTACTTATAAATCTTGTCTTATTCCAGGCAATACAGAGTGGGTTTGTTTCATTGCCTGACCTTCAGACTCAATACTGGTGTATTTCAGTGAATCTATGCAAACAGTGTGACTGTCTTTTCTCTAGTTGACAAGTCTCTACCACAAGTTCTATTTCCATCCATTGATTTGCTCAAGTCCCGCTTCCTGCCAGCTGCCTATGTGGCAGGCACGGGGTGTGTTTTCTAGACCATGTGTCTACTGATGCTTTCAGGAACATTGCCAGGTTTATTTCATCTCGTAAAGCCAGCTTATCATGACTTCTCCATCATCGCTTTGCTCCTCACTTATGAAGATAATCCTTACAAGGAACTATACAGAAATACTCACACCTACATCAATTCCGCCAGGAGATACTCTAGCTCAGCTTGAATCCTCGCCAGAGCAGGATGTTATAAGACAGTATCTTACACTGAACATTTTATCACATCTTAGTCCATCGTGCAAAGTGTAGCAGATGACACAAAGACTCCATGTTTTCATAGCCTTGCAAGTCTGAGAGAACATAAAATTTTGTCTTAAGTTCATATCAGAAATGACTGCAGGATTTTAAGTGCAAGTTGGCTTTGACTGCTTTCCAAATCTGGAAAGCCTCATTCTTTCTGCCTATCGATCACAGCTAAGAAGGAAAAGCCCTGTGTCTATTCAAGTATTTCACTTAAGGGATATCTTACTTGAGGCTTATATTTTTCTACTTTTACCTTTCACAATGAGGGAAAGTTGATCTCTTTCTCTATGTCATATCTACTATAGCCAAATCTGAAGCACTTTTTTTTTGTTGTTCTTGGTCATAAGGCTTGAACTCAGGGCCTGGGCTCTGGCCCTGAGCAATTTTGCTCAAGGTTAGTGCTCTACCACTTTGAGCCACAGCTCCCTTTCCTATTTACTGGTGGTTAATTGGAGATATGAGTGTCACAGGCACTTTTCATCCTGGGCTGACTTTGAACCAAGATCCTCAGATCTTAGCCTCCTGAATAGGATTACAGGTCTAAGCTGCCAATGCCTGGCCTGTTTAAATTAGCAAACTAATTCAAGAGGAAAGAGTTCATTCTTTTGATTCCTCTCCTTTTATTGGGGAGTATAGTGAATCCAGCATACTCTGAAATTTTAAATCCTCCTTTGTGTGTTTTCCCTCAGACTCATCTGATGTGTATGTTTCCAAAGTCATGCAAAAAGTTTTCTTGGAGATAAATGAAGATGGCAGTGAAGCTGCAACATCAACTGGTAAGACCGATGGGTTCTCAAAAAGCTAGGGGGAAAGAAGGGGAAGGAAGAGGAGAACTAATCTTTTTGGCTTACTCTCATCACATACTCTCTGCTGTGTAGCATAAGGAGAGAAGAAAACAAGACAATATACGTGGAATGCTTTTCCCTGTTCATAGACTATATCCAGTCACAGCATAACACAGAAAAGTAGAGCGGGGAAAGGATTGGGGTAGAAGCTGATATTTTCTCATTTGCAAATTGGAAACTCACAGATGAGACACATGGAGACAACTTTTGGGACTCAAATAAGAAATCATTATTATTTAGAAATGCTCAGTCTTAAGTAATTGCATTTAATCATATTGAATCACATTTAATAGTATTTAATTTCAATTCCTGTTACACCAAGTGAGTCTTCATTTTAATTGGTTCTTGATAGAATGGTGGCTCACAAAATTAGTGGCATATGAAAATCTGTACAGACTGAGCTTTAAAATGATTAAATCAGTATGGGGGGAGGGCGGGAAGTAAATAGAAAATTCTAATATCTTTTAAAGTTTCTAAGCAAGACCAGTGAGGTTCTCAGTCCAAGGTTAAGAACTGGCTTTCCATTGTGGCTTGTTGTCTGCCCTGTTATTCCCAATGCAGTCCATCAACCAGCTGTGGGCATCAGAGAGAATTTTCTAGAAATGCAGCTATCTCCAGTCTCCCTCCATACCTGTGAGGTAGAATCTGTATTTTTCACTTGTATTTTTCCAGAAGATCTGTGCTATATTCCATGTTATGAGCCATTCCCCTATACTATATTTCCTTAACAAATGACATTTTAAGTAGTAACTATGCTGTGTGTAAGTAAAACTTAAAAGAAATCAGAAGCTGGCTGCCAGTGGCTCACACCTGTAATCTTGCTACTTGGGAGGCTGAGATCACAGTGGTTCCTGTCTATAATTCCAATTATGTGGGAATCTATAGATGGAGGATCATATTTGGAGGACAGACCCTGGCAAAAATGCAAGTCCTTATCTGAAAAAATATATATGCTAAAGCAAATGGCTGGGGACATGGCTCAAGTGGAAGAGCACTTGCCTACCAAGAATGATTCCTGTATTCAAATCCCAACACACACACACACACACACACACACACACACACACACACACACCCTTGATTTTAGGAAATGGACTATATCAATCCTTGGAGAAATCAGAAGGATTCATATGGATGAGGTTTCTGGATCATAGGTAGTTTTTCCAACTTGTCTTACACAGCTGGAGGGATCTCTAAAGGTCACTGATTGGACCTCTCATTGTACAGTTGAAGCTGGGGTCCAGCCACATGGAGGGGTTTGGCTATAGTCATTTCATAAATGGACAGCAGGGTTTGAACTGAAATCAGATACTCTGTCCTAAGGCTCTGAGCCATATCTATTATTGCCCACTGCCTCCATTTGTAATTGTAGAATTCTCTAGAACATAACCACCATTAAGGGAAGGAAATATGGATCCGTAGCATCTTGATCATCTGGATGTTCTAGTATTTTGCCTTAGGGATAGCCTGAGTATCTTGACTCTGAAGGATCTGCTCAGGGGTCGCTCAAGGACAAACTGTCCAAATATTCACTGCTAATCAGAACATGAGTAACTTTGATTTCTGATTTACTGCCCTCATCCAAACAGAAACCCACATCTGCTTGTAATCTAGTCAGCATTGGGCTGGCATTTTGGGTAGAAGAAGAACTTTTAAGTCATATTACTAATGTTACATTTTAATAGTCTCAGTTCTGATTAATTCTGTTGCTTTCTTTTCTGGATCTGAAAATTAAATGCAGAAAATCATTGATTTATCAGTAAAAAAGTACTAGATTTCAGTGGAGAAATATTTAACTTAGAAAGAAAAACCTTCTACACATCTCAATTTTCTCATCCTAAACACTGCCAGATGCCATAATGAAGCCACATGATATAAACTATTATCATAAATAATTTTAAGGCTAAAAAATCTCTGCTTCTAATTTTGTAATAAAAATCTTGTATACATTGACAACATAAATCCTAAAGATCAAAGCTGACAGAATGATATAAAAAAAAGTAAGTGCAAAGTAAGTAATTTCAAACTCAGGTGTGATTACCATAAACCTGAAATAGAGAAAAGTGTTACCAATATATCTGGAGATGAATTAAAAGCTGAAACATTACAAGAATAAATTACATGATGCAAATGAAAAGTGAGTGGAAAATGACGCAGTAAAACATAACAATTTTTTCAATGGATTCCACTAAATTGAATTGAGAATCTGGCTTTCATCTTTTGTCAATACGAAAGCAAAGTTAGAATTATTACACAAAGGATCTAATGCCTAACCTTCTTCACTGTGGTTTTTTAAACTATTGCATTTTTTCTGTGTTTAGAAAATATTAGCATCCTACCCTAAATGACCTTTCTTGTCTACAAAATGTATTGTGCCTATATCTTCCTTGCTAAAACACGGCTGCCTCTGTTTTACAGGCATGCACCTCCCAGTGATCATGAGTCTGACACAAACTAAGTTCATAGCAAATCATCCATTTCTGTTTATTATGAAGCATAACCCAACAGGTAACATTTTTTATTTTTTTGGAGCTATTGCTTAATTCCACTTCTGAAATTATTTGTTAAGTACACATTATATATTCAATGTTGTATTTTCAGAGTTGGTGAGAGCCTGGAATAGAAAAACAATAATAATGGCTTACTCCATGGCATAGACATCTTGTATTCCCATCTCTAAAGCAAACACTCTTCCTAGGTCGATATTTGCTTAAGAGAATCCAACTAGAAAGTGGTGGAGCCTGAGGGAGGTTAACTCTGTTTCAATGATACCACAATGAAGGTGGAAATGGCGAGCTATGGAACCGTGAGAGGAATAAATTTCTAGTTTATGATCTGCAGGGGAAAGTGGAACATCATTTCAAATGTTCAATCCAGGCAGCTGGTGGAAGAATGTCACAGTCAGGTACAAAAGGGAGTAAAGAAGAAGTAGCACAATCCTTTGGCATTTGGCCCATTGCCAAGCTGTAAAAAGCCAGTCTGTCTCCATAGATGTCTCAGCAATTGGTTTTATGATTAAAAAAAAAGAAAGAAAGATCTGAAAATAACATTTCAGGGGGGGGGATCTTTAAACTTACACATAGGACCTTGTGGCAGACATAATGTTCAGATGAGAACGGTAAATCATGGTGGTGCCATGTCTCATTCAGCCCAGAATTTGGCAAAATACCTTGCAGAGTACATTAGTATCTCTAGAGGCTAAGTGTGTGGACCTGGTCTCAGGTGTGGGCTCCAGTTGCAGCTCATTTAACTATTAAGATAAATTGCTCATATATATTGGAACCTAATATGAATACTGCCCTCACAGAGCTAAATAAAAGAACATGTCAAGCCTGCAAAAACTATGCATACATTACAAATAATACATATAAGTGAGTGGATAGTAGAGGAAAATAAGAAAGGAGAACTGAAAACTTTCTAGAGAGTGGTTCACAGGGAAATGAATCAGTTAATCTCAGAATCTGAATCTGTTAAATCAACTAGAAATATTGATATTGGTTTACTAAGAGTTATTCAATAACCTTAATTTTTTCTTTAATTTAGCTTTAGAGAATTGTACAGAGGGATTACAATTCAGGCTGTCAGTTTATGAGTATGCTGCATCTACTATGCATCTTGATCAATTTCGTCCCTTTTGTCATTCTCCCCTATTTCTCCCCCCATCCCTCAATTTTCCATGTTTCATAGGATATACATTAAATATTATGACTGTATTCTCCTCCACTTCTTCCCCTCTTCATTTGTCAACCCACTACTTTGACCTAACTCCCCCTCCCCCCAAAATCTCACCACCCTCTGCCACATACTCCAATCTCTTTTTAATAGCTTTATGGAATTACTACTGAAAGTTATATCATGGAAACAGTGGGATAATTTCACTAACACCATGTTGAATCCAGTAGTGGGTGATGTTTACATTAAAATATTGTCTGAGCATGTTATTTGACTGACTCATCTTTAGCCTCTGAAGAACTGTCACTTGTTACAACTAGTAGATGATTACTGAATACAGAGAACAGAAAGACAAGGCTCTACATTGGGCATCAGTGCACAAGTAAATATTTGTTGACATTTAAAATAATTCTGCTTGACCCTGTTTCCTAAGTGGATGGCCTGTTAGGTTATAAGGCTGCATAATAGCTTTCTATAAAATAACAGTGAAAATTCAAAACCCAAAAGAATCCATTTATTTTATTTGTGATAATGCTTGACTGTTTGACCTTATGGACAATTTCTATGGTTTTGTGATCATTATTGTAATAAGACATTATAAATGTGGGTACTCCCTTAAAGTATGTTTAAAAATGAATGGCCAGTCATTTATTAGGAGCTGTAAATTGTGACATAAAGTGTAGAATGGACTATTAAAACAGTATGAATTTAGTGATTTATCTATTTTTCTATTGCAAATGAAATCAATAAATTTTTTAAAGCAGTAGAGATTGTGACTCACAGCACTATAGTCGATTATTAAATCATTTCTTGTTTTACATAAAATATTCTGTTGACTTTCTGAAATATGAAGCTAAGCGACTTTAGGTTTAGTAACACATTTTTATTCAAAATTAATTTTTCTTTTGACCAAACATGTCTTCTTGTTTAAATTCTCTACACTACTTGGAATTTCCTACCAACTGAGTAGTTTATTGCAGCACATTTATCTAAAGCTCTAAGTTAAATTTCCAGGAAAATAGAGAACATATTTTTCTTTTTCTATACTAAATATATAAGCCAGCAACTGAGTCTTTGAAAAAGAAACTGTAAAAGAGTCTACATGAAGTGTGCCATTTCTGAAAAATAAATGAATCATGATCTTGAAATTAAAAATACTCTACACATAATACAGTATTTTGTGTTTAGAACTCTTTCAGATTCCTTGTTGAAGAAAGAATCAGACTGCAAGATGTTCACTGTGAAATCTTTTATTCTAATCATTAGCTGTGGTTATGCTGTATATTTTAGTATCCAGAGGCAAAAAGTTCCTTCCATGTAATGGAAATGTTGTATGATTTCTTTTAAAATTAAATGTGGGTGGGAGACATCTTTGAAAGAAGGAAAAAAATAGAAAAAAATGATTTGTTTTAGCCTGCCTCCTAAAATCATTAGTGCTACATCAAGAAACATTTCTTTACTCATTTATTTGTTTGCTTGTTGAATATTTACCTGTTTATTTTTGTGCCAGTCCCGAGGCTTGAGCTCAGTGCCTGGGTGCTGGCCCTGAGCTTCTCTTTGCTCAAGGATAGGATTCTACCATTTGAACCACTGCTCCACTTCTGTCTCTCTCTCTCTCTCTCTTTTTTTTTTTTTGGTAATTTAGGGACATGAGTCTCATGGGCTTTCCTGACTGGGTTGGCTTTAAACTCCAGCCCTCAGATGTCAGCCTTTTGAGTATCTAGGATTACAGGTGTGAGCCACTGATGCCCAGTGTCTCTCAGAGACACTATTAATATATCCAATTTAGTAGTGACTTTGTTGGTGACTGTTTGAAGGCTCAATTAAAAATGTGGCTCTTCTGGGTGAAAGAAACAGGTGGAAGAGTCTAGAATAAATTGCATTTGTGTAATGCTACGCACTTCTGGGTATTTATATCTTAAATTATAATTTTCAATGCAAAGCTAGTATCTATTGAATTGTCTTAAAACAATTCCCTCAAAATATTTCTGAGAAGCATTCATAGCATGACATTACACAGTCACTTCTGGTTGTGTGTGTGTGTGTGTGTGTGTGTGTGTGCTGGTCCTGGGGTTTGAACTAAGAGCCTGGGCACTGTCCATAAGCCTTTTGGCTTAAGGCTAGAACTCTACCACTTGAGTCACAGCTCCATTTTCACCTTTATGGTGGCAAATTGGAAATAAGAGTCTCATGGACTTTTCTGCCTGGGCTGGTTTTGAATGGTGATATTCAGATCCCAGCCTCCTGAGTAGCTAGGATTACAGGTAGTAGCTTTCCTGCTGGTTCTTAGTGTGACTAAATATATCATCCATCAAAAGGTAACTGTATTTTCCTATCTGAAAAATAGAGGTATTTATTTTCTTTCTTTTTCCAATAATCATTTTTATATTGCAGTAAGATATGGTCAATCGTAATGATTCATCTTCATAAATAAGCCAGATATGGCCCAATTTTTTTAAAAAGGAAAGAAAAACAAGTAAAATTGGTTGGAAATTGTGTACCTATCTCATATCATTGGTTCTTTAAAGCGGGTGTCTGATTCAGAACTGAACATTAACAAGTTATTTGAGAATAAGATTCTTCTATTATTACTTGAGAGATACTCGTGTATCATTTCAGTTATGTTTAAAAAATTTGAAATTTGGGCTGGGAAGTTGGCTCAGTGGTAGAGCGCTTGCCTTGCATGCCTGAGGCCCTGGATTCGATTCCTCAGCACCACATAAGCAAAAAGAAAAAAGCCGGAAGTGGCGCTGTGGCTCAAGTGGTAGAGCGCTAGCCTTGAGCTGAAGAGCTGAGGGACAGCGCCCAGGCCCAGAGTCCAGGCCCCACAACCGGACCCCAAAAAAAATTTTTTGAAATTTATCTTATCACTTAAAAAAATAACCTCAACTATATCTAAGTAACATAAATGAACGACATCAAAGTGACAATGTTGACCTTTGACCTGGACCCACAAATAACTGCTTTCCCAGTGGAGAAGAGGGGTAAATCGTTTTAAAGCCTGTTGTTGTTATTATTATTATTATTGTGTGTGGTGGGGGTGTCCTCTAGTCCTTTGTCTCTTCTAGCTTGTAAACACGGCTGGAAACAGGTGTTTGCATTTCTGCTGTATGCTCCATCATCTGGGTGAGGATTTGAAAGCATTAATGGTATGAAAATATTGTCTTTAACAAGGAAGTAAGCTTTGATTCAGGGCGCTGTGTTTTTAACCCAGAGGCTTATCTTCTGTGCATGAAAGGAAGACGGCTGACTCCATACATCCCAAACTCTACTGCGCCTGTCACCATTTTATTACGCTGCCTTTGCTGGTGGAGGCTCTATATTTAGAAGCACACTTCTCTCTCACCTTTTTTTTTTGTTTCTTGCAGAAAAAAAAACAAAAAAAACACCCCAAAACTGACATATTAGTCATGACAAGTAGTTGTGTTACTCTCCCTCCCCCCAATTACCAGAAAATAATCCAACAATGACCTAATTATATCTTTTGGCTAAAAGATGGTTTTGTTTTTAGACATTGCTTCAAGAGGGAAAATGCTCCATGTACTTCAAATTACAAATAAAAAAATAATGATTACTATTTTCTCCAGAAATTCCTAACATACGTTTTTTTCCCCCCCATTCTAGAATCAATTTTGTTTATGGGGAGAGTGACAAATCCTGAGCTACAAGCAACCAAGGGAAGAGATTTCGATTCATTATGAATGCAAGGCTCAAGCTCTGAAAACAAGACAAATCCTTGGAAAATTGTTGATTGATGTAATATCATCCCCAAAATATTTTCTGCTTACAATTTTTGTGTGTAAAGCCATGCCCTTGTAGTTTGGTATGCCTACAGGCCTGTATTCATGAAGAATTAAAATTAGATATGCATATGCTTTCATACTTTCTAAAGTTTCATATTTTCTAAAGTTTATGTTAATCAAAAGTGGTAAGCTTATATAAATAATTGTTAGGATGTTAAACCAATTGTTAGCTATCAAGCCAAAGCTATGCAATGCCTGCCATTTCTAGAAATTACACCATTGGAATCCCCTACACAGAAGCATTTGGTAGACCTTGGGGAGATAAATTTACAGAGTGGTCATGGTATATGGGTCTCTGGGATACAGATTAAAACGCAGACATCCGGATGGGCACCAGTGGCTCATGCCTGTAATCCTAGCTATTCAGGAGGCTGATAGCTGAGGGCCATGGTTATAAGTCAGCCCAGGCAGGAAAATCCAAGAGAATCATGTCAAATTAACCACCAAAAAGGCAGAAGTGGAATTTTGATTCAAATTGTAGAGTTCTAGTCTTGAGCAAAAAAGCTCAGGGACAGGTTTCAGGCCCTGAGTTCAAGATCTAGGACCAGTACACACACACACACACACACACACACACACACACACAAGCATAGATATCTAGGGCAGGAGGTATGCTCAGTGGTATAGCTCTTGATTAGCAAGTTTGAGGTCCTGAGTTCAAACTTTAATACTGTTTAAAAACTCCATAAAATAACAACAACAACAGAAACAGAAATAAAAACAGACATAGAATGATCCAATGTGTGACAGTAAACAAACTAGATATTTTGCTAATCAACAATTTCTAGATGGTACATTTAATATGTCTTGTTTTAATACTTTTGGACCATATCCTTTTTTCTACTGATGTGTTTAAAGTACACACAAACACACACACACACACACACACACACACACACTAAGAGTAACTGCTGATATATTTTTATAAAGCTTTCTTTGTTTCATATGTGACAATTACATTAAATCAATGGGATTCAGAAAGATGACCTTCCATGACTTTGTAATACCTAATGAAGGAAGTGAGAGTCAAGGTTCTAAGCAATAAATACTAATACTTATTAATCGATAATAAAATACTAATATGAATATATAATCACAATAAATAAAAAATGTAAATAATACTAATATCTAAACATTAAAATGACACTACATTCCACTATGACTTCATGGAACATGTTTTACAGGTTTTAGCTCTCTCTTTTTTTTGTAATGACATGATGTGCCTTTTCATTTTTACTTTTTTTTTTTGCCAGTTCTTGGGCTTGAACTCAGGGCCTGGGCAATGTCCCTGAGCCTCTCTGTGCTCAAGGCTAGTGCTCTGCCACTTGAGCCATGGTGCCAGTTTCAATGACATACATTTTTGCTTGTTTTTTACAGCACTTCTTGGAAGGAAGCTCACTAATGGCATGGGTGATTACGTGTCAGGGCCTACAGCAAGCCTACTCACACTGTGTTAAACGCACTCAAAGTTCTATGACAATGTTACTTCTCACCCAGTAAAGAAGTATAGATTCAAAGAAGTGGTGAATAATTTTGAAATAGGCTATAATTATGTATGAAGAAATCTGTTGATCGATCAGGGAGAGAGGGACAGTGAAAGAGAAGGCAATAGAGAGGGTCATTCTGAACAATGTAAATACATGTATGTCTGAGAAGCCATCGTAAACCTCCTTGGTTCGACGAATGTACACATACACAGAGATTTAAAAGTAAGCAAAACAGGCTATGTTGGGAAGGTGTGTGCCAACAGAAGTGAAGAGGGCTGAGAAAGAAGAGGGATGAGGAATGGCTATCGTGTGCATATTTGCGCGTATAAAATAATTTGCATATATAAAATAGAACAATGAAACCCATTGAAATTGTTTTAAGAAGTAGAGAGAGGGGTGAGGAAGTGTGAGAAAGACTGATAAGGAAATAGTGCAAGCACATATGGAAATTCCACAATGAAACCTGCCTTGTACAATTAAAAACAAATATAAAGTACTGAAGGAAATAATGCAATTATGCAGTGAGAAGATTTGACCTTTTGATAACTAAGCTAGAAGACTATGACTCATGGTAGGGGAGACAAAATAAGGTCCAGGTTTTCATAGTTCTTAGAGGGAGCCTCCTGTAAGAAAGGTAGTTTAACAGTTGGATGCGGGTGGCACACACCAGTAGCTACCTGGGAGGTTAAAATTTGGAGGATCATGGTTTGAGCCTAGCCAGGCAGAAAAGTCCATGTGACCACATGCTGCTTAAGAAGCATGGCTTCGTGCAACATGCCTGCCATCTCAGCCATAGCAGGAAGCATAAAGTAAGTCGACAGCAGTTCACATACAAAGAGACCTTATTTCAAAAATCACCAGAAAAAGGGTTGTGGAAATTTGGCTCAAGTGGTATAGTACCTGTCTTGCAAGAATAAAGTCCTGAGTTCCAACGTTAGTACTGAAAAAAAAAGATAGCTCAACAAGCAACAACAGAGAAAAGCTTATATAGTTCATACATACACAGAAGAAACCCAGTGAAAATGAACCAATATCAGAAGTGATGTAGAGCTCTGGTTTTCCCAGCATCTTTGACAAAGGACAATGAAGAAAAGGAAAAGATTTGGAGATTGCAAGAGGAGGATGCAAATTACAGGGAGCCAACATACAGTATATGAAGGCTATTTAGTAAGGTTTGTAATGTATATTTCTGCAGTACCTTGTCTAGTTTGCTACATGCCTAAAGTTGCCTGTAGTGGTCAACTTTTGTTCTCCTATTTAATCAAACAGAAGGAGGGCAAGAGCTTTTCTTATATCTGCTTCTCAATAAACTTCAGCTCAAAACGGTACGCAGGCCAAAGGGGCATTCCAAGATGGCAAAGGGCCAAGGTGACCTTTCCTTCCATCTTTCCTGTTCTATTGATATCTTGGCTTCCAAGTGTAGGCCTCTGTGTGCATCAAAACCTAGAGCATTGTTCAAGGTATTATGATGATGACGTCAGAATTAATGAAGCCATGTTCATGCCAACAGTAATACTTGAGCTTCCTTGTCTATGTACCTCTTGGTAATGACATACATTTCAAGTTCTTCCTTACTGTGGACTTTGTTTAGAAATATGCTTAAATTATTTGAATCCTCCTCCAGATGTTGTATCTGAGCTCCAAGGCTTCATTCATTCTTCTTCCCACAAGTAATAACTGAGCTCCTATCAGGCTCCAGGCAATGTTCTAAGCTCTGGAAATACACTTACATGGAATTTGGTTTGATTGGCATTACATGATTATATTCCAAAGCACATTTTAGAGGGGCCAGATACAGGAGCCACGAGATCAAGGACATGAGAAAAGGAATAATTTATTTTTTGCAGAGATGGGGTTTGAAGTTTATAAAATTTTGCTGTACTAGAAAGTAAAGAACAGGAAACATCGAAAGATCCAGAGAAAATATGAGACCAGTCTCACCAGGATTTAATGCTTTAGACTTTGGAAAAATGAGATATTTCTCAGCAAGATGCCGGAGAACATTGTATCACTGCATGAGGGCTGTTGGAGGATGACTGCAGGCTGGCAGTGGAGACGTGTCTCAGCTTTCATCTGCTTGCTATGAGGACTTTTCTTGATCCACAGTCTCCTCCTATTTTTTTATGTGTTAGTTTCTAAATCTGAACGTTGGGATTCAAGAGGTGAGAAAGAAAAATGTGTTTGCTTTCTTCATTTGATGCCTGGTCACATAATCTAAAGGACATGAGAGAGGAGATGCTGTCCACTGCTGGGCAGTGTGGTCAGGGATTTGTCACCCTGGTTCTCCCGGACTTCAACGTCCTCCTTCATAGGATACAGGGTTTTGGACAAAATCCTCTGTAAAGTCTTGATTTCTAAGTCCTGTGACTTTGAGTCAATACTGCCAAGGACCCATGTGTTCCCACAAAACAAAATAAATCTCAGAACGTATCTCTACCAGAGTTCTTGAACCATGACATTATCTTCATTTAGAGTAGTCTCTGTGTGGGTTTCCATTTCTAATTTATTTTTCGGCAGTGATCTCTACTTCATAAACAGTTTTAATTACGGTTCCTGAATGCAGAACTGTTATTGCTGGTCAGGGACTGCCTAGCGATGGCTTCATTGTACACACATCTCCTTACATGCCTTATACTGGCTTCTTGTCAGCAGGATATTGGCAGAAGTGAGTCTGTGACATGTGTGCTTGTATGACTGAGAAATACACCTTCTTCTACACTTACTGTTTCCTGGAAAATCTTGGGGCTACTGCTTAAGGTGACCCAGTAGATCATATTTAGTAGGCAACACATCTATTAACCCCAGTTCCGCAACTGGTATCCAGGTCCCTTCTGCTTCAATAGTTGCAAAGCCTGTGTCAGACTTTGATGTGAAGACAGTTATGTTTTCATTGGCATTAATTAGTTGTGACAAGAGGTAGTACTGATGCCTTATCTTTCAGAGACTGATGCTAAGACCCAAAATATGTGGTATTTGCTTCAAAGTTAAACATCAGAAACACCAGCAGCAGCATGAATTGAGAGACATTAACAAGCCTGAAGGGAGGAAAGCTTATTAAGCTATGGAATATTTGGTAAACTTGTTGCCTATAATAACTTGAATATGGGCCCGGGATCCACCCAGAGATTATATTTCCTGTCTTCCTAGGATGTGGTAGACTGCTGAAACATTTTCTGCAGTGGATTATGAGCAGAAATGAAACGTGATACATCTAGCTGTTACTGGTTAGGAGGCAAAGTTGCTTCTTTTCATTTCCTCTGTATTCTAGGCACTGAATATCAGTTATTGATACTCAGGGAGATGCTAAAAGACAATAGAGAACAGGCTCCATCAGTCACGGCTCCTGAAAGATTGCCTGGATCACATGATCACATTGGTCCAGTCTTCTGAGCTTCCATAGCACATTGGATCTACTTAGAAAAAGAAATGTATTGCACAGGGCACCAGTGGTTCACACTTGTCATTCTAGTTACTCAGGAGGGTTCAAAGCCATCTCAGGTAGGGAAGTCTGTGAGACTTTTATCTCCAATAAACTACCATAGAAGCAGGAGCGGTGGCTCAAGTGGTAGAACATTAGCCTTGAGCAAAA